CCTACACGAATTAACCACTACTCTGACACAGAAGTAACCCCTGGGTAGCCATTGATTATCGAAGTTCTTATCAAATTGTTCGGAAGTTTCGATCGTGAGTCGGTCCGTGAGTAATAATACCATCACCCTTTGCTCCTCTGCCTTCTAGAATCCCCATGTTTCTCCCCTCCCATGGATCTTTCCTTTTTCCTCCGTCCCCCTTCTCGAGTACGCGCGCTCTCTTTGCATTGTACACACTTAATGATGAGCAGTCCCACGAAGAGGGTGGGAGAACTTCGTTTTGCTTGAAAGCAATGTCTTAAAACGACAGTTTCTTTTGTAACTCTAATAACTCTGTTCCGCCTGTGTTTGTACAGAGGCGAACCTTCGGCCGATGTAGAGGCATTTTCGTTGCTTTGTGTTCGAGGCATTCGACATCGGGCCTCGAGTGGATATAGCGAGATGGAAATAAGATAAACGTGTTTCTCTGAATAAAAAATGCATTTATTGTGAGATAGTAGGGGTAGGTGGTTGGTTGGGGACGTTGGTGATTAAATCGCGTTACAGGTTAAATTAGATAAGGGACTTTAGAGAAAAGGGAGTTCACGTCACGATTTTTATGTAAGAGGAATATTTGCAGTGAAGAAGTGTAGTTATGGTAATCGAATCCTATATCTTTTTAGATCAAAATATAATTTCTTTTCATTTTAAAATTTCTTTTCAAATTCATATTTCTTTTATTCTTGAAGAAAAGTAAAAGTAAGTAAGCTAAATGTTTACATTATGAGCTTAACATGTATTTGCGAAGTGTAGTTATAGATTTATGACTTAAAAATTATATTGAAATTTGAAACTTATTGGGAACTATGTTATCATAGACTGAAAACACAATTAGTGAGAAAATATAGTTATGACAATTGATTTCGTTATCTATTTTAAATAAAAGTATAATTATTTTTTATCCGAGAAATTACTTTTAAATTTATAATTCATCTATTCTTAGCTGAAAAATTGTATAGTATAACACATGATTCAGGAGCTACTAGAATTTCTTTATAATGAAATAGGAGGTATAGGGTTCGTTGAGGACGTCGGTGATTAAATCATGTTACACGGTAAATTAGATAACAGATTTCCGGGAGGAGGGAAAAATTAATCACATTGTGAGGCGTACTCGGTTATTAGTGGTGTAATATTCGAAAGTTTATGGCCGGGGAATAATTAGCTTGGAAGTTTCGCTGCCGAGTGCAAGTAGCGGCTATTTGACATTTCAGCACTAAGTAAACACTTTCGCCATTTTACACGGGTTTCCCAGGCTCCATTCAGCAGAATTTATTAGTGGAATGGGAATTCAGATTTTCGGGGATGAATGTGAAAGGCTACGATTAAAGCGAAGTGAAGAATCGACGGCTAAATTGTACCACCCTTTGAATTAACTCATTCGCCGTTATTCTATGACTTGAATTATGGAATTATGACTGTAAATAGGATCAAATGCAGTGAATAGAAGAGTTCTAAGAATTCAAATTGGATTTAATTGAACATTGT